GAATACATTATTTATATAAGCGGCCTTCATCTGTTATTGTTTAAAGAATACATTATTTATATATGTGGCCTTCAGCTTTTCTAAAGGTTATATATGTTATTTTTTTATATATCGTTTCATATTATTATCAAATCAAAAGAATTAAGGTGGAAAATGAGAATTGTCGATAAGCTCTTGATATTTAAATAAGGAAAGCAGACCATTTGTTGCCTGATCTTCTATATTTAGAAATGACACTGACATGTATAAAAAAGCTCTCAGGACACTGTTTTTGAAGAAGGCTTAAAGTAATACTATGCACTTTTCCAAGATAAAATTACTGAAATAATTAGTTTGATACAAAACAGAAATAGAATTTTCCAACAGAAATAAAAACTAATGACCACTTAAAGATTCTATCATTTGTCAAAGAGAAGTTTTTGACAGATTTATGTTTTAGAAAATATTTTATTATCTAATATCATATCTTAACATTCACTTTATAAACAGATATATTTTCTATTATCTGATTAAGTATCATATTTTATTTTTGTTATCATGACCATGTGACATGATAATTGTTATTTTTATCTATTTGCATGGTAATGTTATATGTACAAGTCTAAATAAAACATTTTGTTCTGTTCTGATATAATGGCCATGAAAAATAAAATATTTTGTTCAGATTCATTGAAGATTACAATCTTTCTATAACTGGGACATATAACCTGTAAATAAACTTTATAAACCAGTAATATATAAAATTAAAAAGCAATCACTTCATTAATTGAACAGAGTTGTTTAAAGTTTCTGAAATATTGTCAAAAAACCATCGTGACCTACCACTTAGCTTTGTTATGGTAGTACATTAGGTATATGGACTTGGTCTGCAAGTTTAAATCCTTGGATCATTTTGTGTTTTTCTTTAATTACAATTCCTCCTCCATTAATGTTTGAAATGTTTATGAGGAGAATGTAGGAATTACTTGTTGAAAAAGTATGTACTAGTTGCTATCAGATTGGTAAAGGTTTAAGTCACTTCAACACTCTAATGTTTATCTGGTGACCATAAAAAGTGACCACTATTGTAATTGTATCCATATTACTGACTAAATGACCTGCCAATTAACAGTTAATCTTGCATAAAAACTGCTCACACAGGTATACATGTACATTAACAGAGAAGAAAACATGCAATAACAAATTACTTGTGACCATGTAAGCATGTTTTTTTAATATGCATGACTCAGGGCAGAATGTAAAAACAGCTTAATGTAGTGATGACCCTGGTAGTTTTATTATCAAAATGTAACTGTCAAATGACATCTCACTAGCACATGGAAAGCATGGCACAAACAATATGTCCACACAATGTTAGCTTTATTACTGGACAAACAAACCAAACAGTATAACTAATCATTATTCCCTGCGGTCTGGAGACCGCAGGGTATTGGTACGCGTTTAACTTTTGAGGCATGGAGGAGCATGTGACCTGTTTTCGGTACATGGAGGAGCATGTGATCTGTAAACCGTACATGATTGGTTAATTGACCTTTTCGAAAACCTGGCTAAATACCGTTTGCCGGTACGTTACGGATTTACCTCTAGGGAATAAGTCAGAATAACACCTAATTAAGAACAAAAAACTATTACGTGATATTTCTAATTTTCTATAATCATTTTACCGTTTAAGGTGGAACACTTGAATGATGTGTTTGAGAATTATCAACGGTTCTTTAATAATTATGTATCTCAAATTTTACAATAAATTGTTTATACTTCGACCTTCTCCGGTCATCAACGGTCACCAGTCTTCTATATTGATCGATTATTGTTAACTATATTCCTGAAAAAAAAAAAACAACAAAAAAACAACAACAAAAACAATGTTGAAAATAGTTAAATGAAATATCTTTATATCATTAAAAATGTTCCCCGCAGGAAACCATTTTACTTGTACCTTCCAATTGTCAGATTTTAACACAGGTATAATATGATGGTTGATAACATCAGAGGGAGATAACTGCTTCACACCAAGTCTCAACAAGAGTTTGTGAACCTGACTGTTCACCTCAGCATCACCAGTATCTAATAACAATGGATGTAGACTGCTCACATCTTGCTGTAGATAATACATGGGGTCTGAAAATAAAATCATTATACAAAAACATTTATATGATTATGAAAATAAAAGAACAAATGCAGAGCTTACCACTGTACTATACTTACCTCTAACAAAGAGTATAAGTGCATCTTAAAATCAACTTTTACAAAATCAGGAGAATAAAGGAGAATGTTGTGTCTTATAAATAACCTGAATAGTATACATGTATACAATAATATATTGAGCACCAATGCATTTTCCTCTACAAGACAGGACTGTAGCATGAATAAAGAACCAGATATGCAGGTAATTTGTGTGTGCAGTATTACACAAAAGCTGACAATCTAGTTTAGCTGTAATCATATTTAGGTTGAATTTATAAAATATCATAACTACCTTTTCCTTTCTGCTTTTTTGTTCTCAAATTGGGTATAGGATAAAAAACTGTTTTTTCCTGCAGGGAGACGAGCTCTCCGTCTGACAGTGGTAAGAAAGGATGAACTTTCAGTGTAGGTAGAATACTATCATCATGATGAAATTCATCAAGGCTACGATATAAACACGCCATCCATTTAGATATTAGTATCACATCTTCATCCTTATCTGTAATAATATATAATTGATAACATATCATGACAGAACACATCAATGATATAATTATAATAACACATGACATAATAACACATCAATAACATATTTTAACACTAACACATCAATGATATATTCTAACACGACCCGCATTTTTTCCTATTGAACATAGAAGAACCGAAAGTGTGTGTTATTATGCTATAAAATCACTGTTTGACTTTCTATATTTAGACATGTGACGTAATCATTATACACGTGACGTAACCACTAAAAATGTGACGCGCTGACAATAAGTACGGAAACAAATCATTCGCCATTTAGCTAATTATCATGTACGGCAGCTTTTGTTTGTTGATGTCGTGTTAGAATCGAAATTAATATATCCAAATAGGTGATTTTATAGCTTGATAACATCACTGTTTGTCGTTCGGATGCGCATCATTATATCACTCGGGCTATGCCCTCGTGATATAATTCCCTGCATCCGAACTCCAAACAATGATGTTATTGAGCAATAAAATCACAGTTTGGGATATATTATTTCTTAAATAACACATGACATAATAACACATCAATAACATATTATAACACATCAATGATATAATTATAATAACACATGACATAATAACACATCAATAACATATTGTAACACATCAATGATATAATAACACTTGACAAAATAACACATCAATAACATATTATAACACATCTATGATATAATTATAATAACACATGACATAATAACACATCAATAACATATTGTAACACATCAATGATATAATAACACTTGACAAAATAACACATCAATAACATATTATAACACATCTATGATATAAATATAATAACACATGACATATAATAACACATCAATAACATGAATTAACACATTACATAATATTAACATTATTAATGAGATATAAAATATCTTACATGTTATAAAGCTTTATAGTAACTAACAGGAGCAAAATTATAAAGTGAGCCTTTGGTAAGTTTTATCACATATCTGGCATGTATTGAATGAGAAAGTCTACTATATGAATTGATTCTTTCTCACATAATATTTTACATGATATTATCAAAACAACGAACAATGACCATTATCACCAATGAAATGTAATCAACTCATAACAATATATTAATGGCAGTAAAACAAAATAAATTGCTTAAGAAACATGTTAAGACAATATAAAATGTTGTAATACTTACTGCAGTGTGTGCCCATGTTCACAATCAAAGCTTTACCAAGCTGGAATAAATGGTCAGATGTTAAGTTTTCAATACCAAGACAGGACGTCAATGCTGGGTTCAACACTGTGGCAATGTCTGGATGTAGGTAAAACAGATTAAGGTGTTTCTCCAGAAGGTCCGATGTGATTACACTGCGTACCAGCGGGTCCCGAACTTTTACTGTCTGTGATGGTATCTTCCAGCTTACTGGTCCTTGAAAAATGTAAGATATATTAAATAAACATCCACTATACATAAAAACAACATACATGTAGATACTTTAAATACACATTCATATTTCAATGTACATAAAAAGTATTTCCATACATGTAGAAACATTATATAAACATTCAATACATAAAAACAACATGCATGTAGATACTTTACTAGCAATATTTATCATTAATAAAGTAATAGATTACAGACTGAAAACTTATATTTTAATGAATGACTTACAGCATTTCTTCACTAACCAGCTGATTTAAGTAAATTTTGTAGAAAATTAAGTACACAGTATTTAGTGAAGAAGATGGTAAATATATGTGTAACATGTACACTTCATCAAGAACCATTAACTTAGGTGCATGACAGTGCTCGTGTAATATAATCTTGTAACATAAACTGCAGACAAAGAAAACATTTTGTTTATACCTCAGAATTACACATTTTTTTTTGTGGTGAGCATACCTTGTTTTTCTGCCAGTGTAGGAATACAAGGTTTAGCTTTAAGTTTCTTCAGTATATCAGAAGCTACAGGTTTAAAGAATTCAAGAACTTCATCTTCCATAGGTACAAACTGCAGGAATGTACATACTGCTTCCATACTGCTGAACTCAGAATGTGTCTAAAACATAAAATTGAACTTCTATAGGTTAAATCATCTCTGGTAATAGTGTCATTAACTTTAAATAACTTCCTTCTTATATCTTAAGGTTCAACCTTCAGAACGGAACTTTGTTTCTCTCATTTGAGGAAATGATCAGACTTCAAGGTCAATGTCAGTGGTTCACCTCTGGTTCTCCTCCATTCAGGCACAATCAAACGTCTGATAAAAACCTGTGATCATCTGACATTGACAGAATCAACATTTAACATTGACAGTGTTGATACTTAACAACAAAGAAAAAAGCAATAACTGAAAGGCCGACCTGTTTCTTTCACCAGAATAAATGACATATTTTAGTTAAAAAGATCAATCTATCTCTGGCTCTCTTTTTTATTAAAGTAAAACTTACTTTTATAAACATAAGTTATGTTTATGGTGGAGATAGTACAAGGATTTATTAAAGGACACTCATTATACAATGTTGGTAGACAGTCACCTAAGAATAATTTCTATTAAATTATATCAAAATGTGATCGGGGTCCAAAATGTTACTCATTGGTCAATTTCAAGAACCATCTTTTGTTCGGTCATTTTTTTTGAAATTACTACAGTAATAATAATTTATTATTTTGTATTTCTGTTTTAAGGACATTTAATTTCAGATTCAGTGCTACTTTCTTCAGGTGATAAGAATGTAACACCATCATTTAGATATTATAAAACTCATGTCTGCCCTTTCTAAAATTTAAAAATCTGTAAAGCATGTAAAGTAATATCTAGAAGAGGTTTTTGTCACTCCCAAAACTAGGTATGGTACTAATAACTCCTGTGAATTTTGGTTGAAATCCCACAAGCAGTTTGACCTGTTAAAGCCAGACATGATTTTTTTATTTATAGCGCCGGCGGCCATTTTGTGCACCGAAGTGGAACGTGCTGGCGATATGCACAACTAGGGATGATACTGATCACTCCTGTAAAGTTTCATTGGAATCCCACCAGCAGTCAGGAAAAGATTTTCTAATTTGAGCTCTGGCGGCCATTTTGTGCAGCTAAGCCAAACATGCCATGCGATGTGCACAACTAGGGATGGTATTTATCCATTTGTTTTTATCATCATAATTCAGCAATCATAAAAATGGTAATACCTTGAAGACATCAAGAGTTTCCAGGAATACATTAGGGATTTCATTACGTAGCCACTGGTTCCATGAACTGTCTCTGTCAACATCTTCTCGACTTGATGGTACATCAAAGTCACCTGTAAAAATATTTAATATACTAAAAGTCACCTGTAAAAACATTTAACATACTGTATCTCAACATGTCTTGACTTGATAAAAGTTACCAATATAACATATTACATCATAACAACTTGATGGTATATTGTAACCTCGGCACAATGACCATCTAAACAGTTACCTCTTTATTGCAGTAGCTAAAAATTTTCCCAAAGTAAGACTGTATAATGAATATCACCTCTCTAGAGCAAAACCTCGCAACAAAAACCAAATATATTTTCTCCGAAAGGAGGTTGTTCTTCAGAGGTTGTACCAATAGTTATGCTCTTAACAACAAAATAAAGCTATCACTTACGGTGATTTATACCCCCACCAGCAACATTAACTTTTTGAAAAATAAGTGGTCTGAATATTATTAACTCTTTTTATAATTTATGATGATTCATCAGTGTAATTATAACAACTAATTGCCTGTCTTCCAGAAACCATTTTTCTATTGTTAATAACAGTGACCTTGACCTTTAACGAAAGGGGTCCAACAACAATCCCAAGCTAGCTCTTTTCATAAGCTTGTTATATACCAAGTTTGATTACAATAACTCATTCCAAACTCTAGGTATCATACAGAATACATGAAGTGGACAGACCGAACATATGACCACCGACCAACAAGCCGACTCCTAAAATTCGTTTGTTGGGGTATAATAATATTATTGCAACTATCATTACAAAATGGCAGCAGATGCAATATTTTGTGTCCTATGGTGCCAGTAAGATAACAGTATCATTTAAAGACATTCCGGATGATTTACATTCATATTAAAAAATATCCCGGATGTTGCAAAATAAAATGTATAAAGTTATCTTTACCTTGAATAATAAAACGGAAACCATAACTTCTCAATGGAAGGAAAGCAAATACTGGTTGCTTCGGGGGCATCATCTAAAAATAAAATATTTAAATATGAAAAATAGAAATTTTCATCGACTTAAATCAAAATCTGATAAATGATGTTATACAAAATACAAATAATGTATATCTAAATATTATTACATATGAGAACTTCATAGAATTTTTCACAAAGCAGTTCAATACCTCTTAACGTTATACAAAATCTTCCCCCCTATACCATTCTTTTCTAATCAAACATTTCCAGTTTTCCACTAAATTTAGATACCATTATAGTAACAAAGAAGAAAACTTTAAAAACAATAACATTTTTCAAATAAATTAGTAAAAGTTTTCAAAATGGAAATAAATCTTAAAATACAGGTGCTTGACTTATACATCGAATCACATAAGATGTAGATGTTGATAACAAACATTTATTTGAAGTTAAGTTTATACAGTATTTATTTTACTATGATTGTGTAGGAACCTATAAGCTTATAGACACACTCTTGAATTTGTTCCTAGAATCAACCAATACTTAGCAATGACTGTTAAGTTTGCTGCTCAAGGAAACAACAGCTTGCCCCTGATACAGTTTAAACCAACACAACTAGAGATCATCATAGATTATGACTAGGACATGTTAACCACTTGGCCATGCTGCCAAACAAGTTTGAAGTTTGAGATAAATACCTAAATAAATAGAGAAGTTATACAAAAACTAAATAAAATTCTATGCTCAAGGGGGATAATTCTGCATATATTTAAAAAAATAAATGATGTGGGTGATAATAAGAGACATATATTTGTAGAAGATACTCTCAGAAATGAAGACTTTACCCGACTTTTCCTAAGAACAGAAGGCACTTGTACCATTTTGCCAAGTCTACCTATACCCTTATTGATGTAAGTAATACCGTATCCAAATCTAAGATTCATGTAAGCTTTATACCTGCATAACTAAAGAAGAAATAATAAGAATGTGATAAAAAATGTCATGACACATACATGGACAGTATTTTTCCTGCACTGATTTTTCAAGGGGAAGGCTAATGCTATTTCTGTAGATTCCACCTCGGCACCAGATTTTGTTTGTAGAGAGATATTGCTGGCATCTAGGATTTTCTTAATGACCATCCATCTATCACACCCTCCTGAATGTTGTATCTCTACCACATTGTCACCTATGTCACGACGCTGAATAGTTTCTACAGTATTTTCCACCTACAAGATAGTAAATGCTTTATTAACAAGAAAAAAATGCAAGGAAAATTAATGTTTTGTGCTTCATAATGCATTACCTACCAGCTTTGATAAAACATTTAAAATAGTTTTCAATTTTCCAATATTTGTTTCATCAAAATATCTTTAACTTCAAGATATTAACCTCATAATAATTATTCATGCTAGTAATTGAATGATAATTATATTTTGCTTTCAACAACAAATTATTCAGTGTAATTGTTTACTTGAATGACTACTGGTAATGCAGTCTGACTGGGCTCTATACACATGATGGTAATATTAATCTATATTTTGTTATATAATTTCTTAAAATTCAAATGGACAGTTCTGAGTTCAAAACAGGGCAAGTCAGTAACAAAACTCAGCATAGTAAGGGTTAGTTATACACTCATAGTATGTATCATTATTTAACTTTTTAAACTTGTTCACAACGTTATAGCAAATTGTATATATTAATCTAATTAGTTGAATAAATCAATTAGCAAATAAAGCTGATTTAGAAATTAATGTCAACAAATTCATAAAACTCTGAAATAGATATTAACAATTATTACCTTATTTTGTATTGTTATTTGACGAAGCCTGTGTAAAAATAGTAACAAGGAAGGGTGAAGGTCATTAAATCTTGCAGCTAATGTTCGAGTGTGTAGTCTCATGTCTTGTTTCAGCTTCAGTATGATATGAGTCATCCATCTGAAAGTACAACATCTCAACATATTGTAGTCTAGTACAACATCTCAACTTATTGTAGTCTAGTACAACATCTCAACTTATTGTAGTCTAGTACAACATCTCAACATATTGTAGTCTAGTACAACATCTCAACATATTGTAGTCTAGTACAACATCTCAACATATTGTAGTCTAGTACAACATCTCAACATATTGTAGTCTAGTACAACATCTCAACATATTGTAGTCTAGTACAACATCTCAACATATTGAAGTCTAGTACAACATCTCAACATATTGTAGTCTAGTACAACATCTCAACATATTGTAGTCTAGTACAACATCTCAACTTATTGTAGTCTAGTACAACATCTCAACATATTGAAGTCTAGTACAACATCTCAACATATTGAAGTCTAGTACAACATCTCAACATATTGAAGTCTAGTACAACATATCTCAACATATTGAAGTCTAGTACAACATCTCAACATATTGAAGTCTAGTACAACATCTCAAACATATTGTAATCTAGTACAACATCTCAACATATTGTAGTCTAGTACAACATCTCAACATATTGAAGTCTAGTACAACATCTCAACATATTGTAGTCTAGTACAACATCTCAACATATTGTAGTCTAGTACAACATCTCACCATATTGTAGTCTAGTACAACATCTCAACATATTGTAGACTAGTACAACATCTCAACATATTGTAGTCTAGTACAACATCTCAACATATTGTAATCTAGTACAACATCTCAACATATTGTAGTCTAGTACAACATCTCAACATATTGTAATCTAGTACAACATCTCAACATATTGTAGTCTAGTGCAACATCTCAACATATTGTAGTCTAGTGCAACATCTCACCATATTGTAGTCTAGTACAACATCTCAACATATTGTAGTCTAGTACAACATCTCAACTTATTGTAGTCTAGTACAACATCTCAACTTATTGTAGTCTAGTACAACATCTCAACTTATTGTAGCCTAGTAAATGTACAACATCTCAACATATTGTAGTCTAGTACAACATCTCAACATATTGTAGTCTAGTACAACATCTCAACATATTGTAATCTAGTACAACATCTCAACATATTGTAGTCTAGTACAACATCTCAACTTATTGTAGTCTAGTACAACATCTCAACTTATTGTAGTCTAGTACAACATCTCAACATATTGTAATCTAGTACAACATCTCAACATATTGTAGTCTAGTACAACATCTCAACTTATTGTAGTCTAGTACAACATCTCAACTTATTGTAGTCTAGTACAACATCTCAACATATTGTAGTCTGGTACAACATCTCAACTTTTGTAGTCTAGTACAACATCTCAACTTATTGTAGTCTAGTACAACATCTCAACTTATTGTAGTCTAGTTTACAACATCTCAACTTATTGTAGTCTAGTACAACATCTCAACTTATTGTAGTCTAGTACAACATCTCAACTTATTGTAGTCTAGTACAAACATCTCAACATATTGTAGTCTAGTACATAAACATCTCAACATATTGTAAATCTAGTACAACATCTCAACATATTGTAGTCTAGTACAACATCTCAACCATATTGTAGTCTAGTACAACATCTCAACATATTGAAGTCTAGTACAAACATCTCAACATATTGTAATCTAGTACAACATCTCAAATATTGTAGTCTAGTACAACATCTCAACATATTGTAGTCTAGTACAACATCTCAACTTATTGTAGTCCTAGTACAACATCTCAACATATTGTAAGCCTAGTAAATGTACAACATCTCAACATATTGTAGTCTAGTACAACATCTCAACATATTGTAAGTCTAGTACAACATCTCAAACAATATTGTAATCTAGTACAACATCTCAACATATTGTAGTCTAGTACAACATCTCAACTTATTGTAGTCTAGTACAACATTCTCAACTTATTGTAGTCTAGTACAACATCTCAACATATTGTAGTCTAGTACAACATCTCAACATATTGTAGTCTAGTACAACATCTCAACATATTGTAGTCTAGTACAACATCTCAACTTAATTGTAGTCTAGTACAACATCTCAACATATTGTAGTCTGGTACAACATCTCAACATATTGTAGTCTAGTACAACACATCTCACCATATTGTAGTCTAGTGCAACATCTCACCATATTGTAGTCTAGTACAACATCTCACCATATTGTAGTCTAGTACACACATCTCACCATATTGTAGTCTAGTACAACATCTCACCATATTGTAGTCTAGTGCAACATCTCACCATATTGTAGTCTAGTACAACATCTCACCATATTGTAGTCTAGTACAACATCTCACGCATATTGGTAGTCTAGTGCAAACATCTCACCATATTGTAGTCTAGTACAACATCTCACCATAATTGTAGTCCTAGTAAAACATCTCACCATATTGTAGTCTAGTGCAACATCTCACCATATTGTAGTCTAGTACAACATCTCACCATATTGTAGTCTAGTACAACATCTCAACATATTGTAGTCTAGTACAACATCTCAACATATTGTAGTCTAGTACAACATCTCAACTTATTGTAGTCTAGTACAACATCTCAACATATTGTAGCCTAGTAAATGTACAACATCTCAACATATTGTAGTCTAGTACAAACATCTCAACATATTGTAGTCTAGTACAACATCTCAACATATTGTAATCTAGTACAACATCTCAACATATTGTAGTCTAGTACAACATCTCACCTATATTGTAGTCTAGTGCAACATCTCACCATATTGTAGTCTAGTTGTAAAACATCTCACCATATTGTAGTCTAGTACAACATCTCACCATATTGTAGTCTAGTACAACATCTCAACTTATTGTAATCTAGTACAACATCTCAACATATTTGTAGTCTAGTACAACATCTCACATTATTGTAGTCTAGTACAACATCTCAACATATTGTAGTCTAGTAACAAACATCTTCACCATATTTGTAGTCTAGTACAACATCTCAACATATTGTAATCTAGTACAACATCTCAACATATTGTAGTTCTAGTACAAACATCTCAACATATTGTAGTCTAGTCTAACTAACATCTCAACATATTGTAGTCTAGTACAACATCTCAACTTATTGTAGTCTAGTACAACATCTCAACATATTATTGTAGTCTAGTACAACATTCTCACCATATGTAGTCTAGTACAACATCTCAACTTATTGTAATCTAGTACAACATCTCAACATATTGTAGTCTAGTACAACATCTCAACATATTGTAGTCTAGTACAACATCTCAACATATTGTAGTCTAGTACAACATCTCAACATATTGTAGTCTAGTACAACATCTCAACTTATTGTAGTCTAGTACAACATCTCAACATATTGTAGTCTAGTACCAACATCTCAACTTATTGTAGTCTAGTACAACATCTCAACTTATTGTAGTCTAGTACAACATCTCAACATATTGTAGTCTAGTACAACATCTCAACATATTGTAGTCTAGTACAACATCTCAACATATTGTAGTCTAGTACAACATCTCAACATATTGTAGTCTAGTACAACATCTCAACATATTGTAGTCTAGTACAACATCTCAACATATTGTAGTCTAGTACAACATCTCACCATATTGTAGTCTAGTGCAACATCTCACCATATTGTAGTCTAGTACAACATCTCACCGTATTGTAGTCTGGTACAACATTTCAACATATTGTAGTCTGGTACAACATCTCAACATATTGTAGTCTGGTACAACATCTCAACATATTGTAGTCTAGTACAACATCTCAACATATTGTAGTCTGGTACAACATCTCAACATATTGTAGTCTAGTACAACATCTCAACTTATTGTAGTCTGGTACAACATCTCAACATATTGTAGTCTAGTACAACATCTCAACATATTGTAGTCTGGTACAACATCTCAACTTATTGTAGTCTAGTACAACATCTCAACATATTGTAGTCTGGTACAACATCTCAACATATTGTAGTCTAGTACAACATCTCACCATATTTGTAGTCTAGTACAACATCTCAACATATTGTAGTCTAGTACAACATCTCAACATATTGTAGTCTAGTACAACATCTCAACATATTGTAGTCTAGTACAACATCTCAACATATTGTAGTCTAGTACAACATCTCAACATATTGTAGTCTAGTACAACATCTCAACATATTGTAGTCTAGTACAACATCTCAACATATTGTAGTCTACTGGTTGAAGTCTGTAAGTGTAACCTAAAGGCTCGTTGGTTTTAGCTTTCTAGGGTCCCTGTCAAGTCTTCATTTATAACATCAATACAAGTTAATAATAACATCAACTCCAGGTAATTTTTAGTTACATTTATAGCTTTCTTGAAAATATAGTGGGTGGGAAAGGAGTAAAATATTTTAATCAGTGAGCAAGTGAGAGAGTGAGCAAATGAATGATTGGGTGAGAAATTATACATGCAGCATATTTTAACACCTGAGGGCTAAAGACTGTCACTTACAGGACCTGTTTTTATATAAATAAAACAGTAACAAGTAATGAAAATAGAAGTCTGTCATATTCTGTATAAAACATTCAAAGTTTCAACTTGATTTTGAATATTGAAACTACAAATATATTTTTCTTTTTAAGTTTGATTTTTAAAGATTAAATTTACCCATTTGGGGGCATGCCATTTCAATTTAAAGTTATTCAGGTATTCATTTTCTTCCAAGATAATATGAAGCCCTGGGTCTAAATATAGCTTATAATACATTGCAATTATAGAAACACCTAAAATAAGTAGATATTGAAGTTGTTCATAATGTAAATCAGAAATTTAGAGAAAAGTGTAAATTACCCATCTTGACTTATCCTCTCCTCCTCTGGTACCCAGTATGGTAAAATATAGCCCATAGGCCCACTGTTGACATCAAACCGGATATGGTAACCATTAGAGTGTACTTCCGGTGCATCTGTTATTCGGAAAACAGACTTGAAACCAATTCCCTTCTGGCCTGCATAAAACATGTAACAATTTATAAAAATTTCATTTAAACATAACTGAAAAGGACATATTTAATCAAACTGGAATCTCCAACCTGAGCAAAAGAACTTTAATGATTGTTAACTTTAAGCAGCATTCTATATCAGTCAATAACATTTCTGCATTTAGAATGCACATGTATATCAAATTTGAAGACATAATTCCAGTCAGTTTTTTTAATAGTTTCCTTAAACAGAAATAAATTTATTTTCTGTACCTATGTATCCGAACTTGTGCTTTCCTTTTGTACTTCTCCCGACATCACATAAAGCTCTAATATCCTTTTCCCTAAATCCAAGTTCATTATTTAGCACATATATCCCATCCTGCTCTATAACAAATTTCACAGAAGGGCAGCCATCTTTACAGTTGTCAAGCAGGTTGTCAGGGTAACTATTGTCGTCTGCATTTTGTACCAATTCAAGGACAAAGTGTGTATCTTTACTGTATAAATCTTTAGACAAACGATCTAAACTTCTACCCAGTCTCTCTTGTTGAACCTTACATGGAAAAAGTAAACAGTTTGTTTGGTATAATATACCCAACAAATGTTAATCATATATGAGCCGCGCCATGATAAAACCAACATAGTGCGTTTGCGACCAGCATTGATCCAGACCAGCCTGCGCATCCGCGCAGTCTGATCAGAATCCATGCTGTTCGCTTACAAATCGTATTACAATCGCTATCAGTTTCTTTACTTGTTATAGGGTCTGTAAGTGAACAGCATAGATTGATGCTGATCAGACTGTGTGGATGCATAGGCTGGTCTGGATCCATGCTGGTAGCAAACACATTATATTGGTTTTGTTTTGACGCGGCTCTTATGTATTCATGTTGGCTACAGGGAGATAACTTCAAATACAACAAAAAACTTTTTCTACTGTACATAAAAACATCAAAAGTTCAAATTTGAGTAAAGGATATATTCTTCTATATAATGCTGCACTGCTGTTTTGCACTAGAGGTGAGATAGCTTCAGTTTGCAGTGTATTTTTTAACACCTTTTAAAAACAGCAAAGTGTGGTCATACCCCATAAATTATAGAGAAATATAAAAAAAGATATAGATATTTATTTTATTTCTATAAACAGTACCTTCATGAGCCTCTCACCATCTTCATTTAGATGAACACCAACACCAAACTCATCTCTACGTATTTGATTAACTATATCTTCACATGTCAACTCTACAGGCTTCTCTGTTATAACCGTCTCTAAATCTTGAATATCACCATTATCTTCAGTTTCTAATGCTGAAAGTTTGTAAGCCGTATCATATACATGTATTTTGTACCACAGATACTTGGTTATGTTCAAGTACATGTATTTACATCAATATTTCAGCTCCATTCAACAAAAATAACAAGAGCCGGTTGAACCAGGTGATGCTCCCCCCACTAGGTTTTGGACACAGAAAAGTATATCTTTTGTAGTTTGAGAATTATGTCCAAGACAAAGTTAAAAGTGTGGTAATTCCAAATTTAAGCAAGGCAAAGTTACTGTTCTTTGCACTGCACTTCTACTCAATGAGATCTATCTACCAACTTGCCCGCGATATGTCGTCTCAATATGTTGATCATTTCTTTGAAATAGTTGTAAAATCCGACTTCAAATAACGAAGTTAAGGGCCGGACACGATTTTGCTTCAAGGTCATGCAGTGACCTTGACATTCAAGGTAGTGACCCAAATAAATATTGCGCCGACACATCTTCTCAATATGGTGATCATTTCTGTGAAATAGTTTAAAAATCCGACTTCAAATAACAAAGTTATGGGCCGGACAAGATTTTGCTTCAAGGTCATGCTGATCTTGACATTCAAGGTAGCGACCCAAATGTTGCGCGACACATCATCTCAATATGGTGATCATTTCTGTGAAAAAGTTGTGAAATTCGACTTCAAACAACAAAGTTATGGGCCAGACACGATTTTGCTTCAAGGACATGCTGTGGTAGCGACCCAAATTTGCCCGCGACACATTGTCTCAATATGGTGATCATTTCTGTGAGATAGTTGTAAAATCCGACTTCAAATAACAAAGTTATGGGCCGGACACGATTTTGCTGCAAGGTCATTCTGTGACCTTGACCTTTAAGATAGCGACCCAAATGTTGCTCACGACAAGTCATCTCAATATGGTGATCATTTCTGTGAAATGAAGTCATAAGGCTTTATTTATATATTTATCATGGCATAAACAGTAATATTCTTTGTACTTGATAAATATTCAGGGCAATAACAGAGCCATAACTCTGTGTAAGATAGTAATATCTGACCATGCCAATGAGATGTGAATTGCCTTTGTGTATCCATGGTTGCCATAAAGTTTTGTTGAAATCAATACAGCAGTTGCAAAGAAATAGCAATATTGCTCTATATGCATACTACATAACTAATCAAGGGCCAAAACTCTGAGTTAAAGTGTCTGACCGGAACAAGGGGACTATATGCACATCTCCTCTTGGTATTGGAGGTTCCCATAAAGTTTCGTTGAATTCCAGCCAGTAGTTTCTGAGAAGTAGCATGGAAACGATTTTTACTCAATATGCATACTGCATAACTAATAAAGGGCCATAACTCTAAAGAGTTAAAGGGTCTGACCGGAACAAGCTGACAATATGCGCATCTCCTCTTGATATTGATGATTCCCATAAAGTTTCGTTGAATTCCAGCCAGTAGTTGCTGAGAACTGGTCCGGAAACGAAATTCGGACAGACGGATAGAAGGACGTCTGGTATACCAGGAGAGTAATAATGTGGCTACTCCATTGTTCTCTATTGTTCTTTTTAGCGACACAAAAGAAAATAGCCACATAAAAGCATTACGGAATGAATGACATCAAAGAGAAAGAACAGTTACCTATTGTCTCTCTTGCCACATAATTACTGTCCTGTGAGTGCGGACGGATGGAAAGACGGACGGACAACGCCAAAACAATATCCCCCGATCTATCGGAGGGGAATAATAACGAAATGTTGCTCGCCACATGTTATCTCAATATGGTGATCATTTCTGTGAAATGGTTGTAAAATCCGACTTCAAATAACAAAGTTATGGGCCGGACACAATTCAGGACGTACGTAAGTATGGACATACGGACAACCCGGTTATGGAGCATAACAACGTAATTTTAAAACATGTACTATGTGAACTTATTCTAAACAAGACAGAGCATTTCAGTAGAAAGCAACCATTTGAAATAAACAGAAAACTTTGATCAATTAAATTATCTTATTTTTGGATCATCAAAAAATTAGGGATATTTGACTGAGCTGTCAGGCCATAGATAAATTTTCCTTGTAAAACTTTACCACCAAATATACTCCATCTGAAGTTTATTTATAATCCACTGTTTATCTTGTACAGAGAATAATGTAAATATACTGAAAAAACTGACTCATACAAGGCCATCATAACCCTTCAACCTGCTGAATTAGTGTAATAGATTTCTCCAGCTTTAATTTGGAACAATCCATTCCAATTTTAAGGGATTTCAAAATCAATATACAAAAATTGAGGCACCAATTTAAATGATGCAATAATGTGAAGTATTTAAATGATACAATAATGTTAAGTTGTGAGAAAATTAACAATTATGCAAAAAGAAATGTTGGATATTAGAATAATTAACATTTCCCTATCCCTTTCTAAGTTCCTTTTATTGTGCATTAACATTTTTGTAAACACTAATAAATGATAATACACCAGTCATTTGTTTTCCGAGCCCCTAATATATAATCCCAAAGGTAGTGCAAAATAAGTTTTATACAGTTAAATTACCCTTGGTCTTATGATCAGCTTTCCCTTCATTGTCATTCTCTTCCTTCTTGGCTGAATGCTCTTCTTCAATTTTATCTATTTTACCTTCCTCAACTATTCCACCAGTTAAGATATCATCAACATCTTCAGCTTCAAATTCATCCATTAACTCTTCATCTTCCTTAAAAACATTGAACAAACCTCTCTCACCTTAAAACTCAATCTTACAGTGTTCCATGTGATATATTCATTATACATCCATTAAATAATCTATTAAAGCTTACTTGTGTAAGTACATGTATTTTTATTCAATATTGTGTAAAAAATCTGGCTTACAATAGTGATCTTAAAATACTGTGTTTTATTCTTTTTTTTTAACCCCATTTTACTGACATTTTATGGCTATTAAAAGAATGATAATAATACACATCATTTACTTGCAGAAAAACAGATCAGGATAGAAAAATTCATTTAGTAATTGTTTGTCTCATGACATTCTATTATTATAAAACTACATTATTTTCAGTACTTTTGTCCCCTTTTTTAGATAGGTAAAGGGACCCTTCTCAATGGTTTAAGGGACTCCACTGAGGTTTTTTGACATGACAAGACTGGAAATAACTTTCCAAAATTAAATTTCCATTTAATGTACGTGTAGGTCTATATCAATAAATTGTGCATATCTTTCTGTTTTAAGTGACCAAACAGCTCTATGTAAGGAATCAAATCTTATGTTTTTAGGTTTTTGGAGCTATGTCCTTGACAAGATTTTTCTTTAAGGGGAGATAATTCAAAAATAGGGCTTAAAAGAGTTATGGTTCTTAAAATTTTAGAGTTATGTTCCAGACAAAGTTCAAAGTGTAAAAATGAACAAAGGGCAATAACTCCAAAATTAGGCAAAGCAGAGTTACGGTTCTTACACACTGCACTTCTACTCATTAAGATCTATCTATCTACAGAGTTTAATGTTGATATCTCCTATAGTTTAAGAGCTATGTCCCAGGCAAGTTTTCTAAAAGGGGTGATAATTAAAAAATGGGGCTTAAAAGAGGTATGGTTCTTTTGCACTGCACTTCTACCCACTGAGATTTATCTTCTTACAAAGTTTCATGCTGATATCTCTTATTATTTTAGAGTTATAATCCAAAGTTCAAAGTGTAAAAATAAACAAAGGGCAATAACTCCAAAATTAGGCAAAGCAGAGTTACGGTTCTTACACACTGCACTTCTACTCATTAAGATCTATCTATCTACAAAGTTTAATATTGATATCTCCTATAGTTTTAGAGCTATGTACCAGACAAGATTTTTCTAAAGGGGTGATAATTAAAAAATAGGGCTTAAAAGAGGTATGGTTCTTTTGCACTGCACTTCTACCCAATGGGATTTATCTTCCTACAAAGTTTCACTGGGTCATGATGTTGAACAAGTGTGCAAAGTTTCAAAGCTATATGTCACTGAACATTGAAAATATTTGAGGTGTTACAAAACTTGAACATATTAAGTGATTACGCCAACGCTCTGGTGACTAGTATAGCTTTACTTTTTCTTATTGAATAATTGACCTAAAAAACACTGATTTCAAGTACCTGAATATCATTGTCATTTTCAATAAAGTCTTTAGCCTCTTCTGCTGATATCTGTACATCACTAACAGGTGGTTGACATTTATGTGTAATCACATCAGTCCATTCTTGTATACCAAGTAAACATCCTAATTTCATTATTTTGTTCAATTCATCATTTGAGGAACAAAGTTGTATTAGTAATTGTTTTGATTTACTTGAACCCATAACCTGTCCCAGTGGGTCAAGAAAAAGCTGGTTTGCAAAGGCAACACAGAAATTTGTAGGAATACGCAGAAGACATTTGAGAACAAACATGGCTGCTGAATGCATGTAAACTTGGCCATCTGTAAATAATAAAAAATATAATTTGAAAAAAAAATATATATATAATTCTACTAAGTCGAATAACTTTATACAAATAAAGTGAACCCTTAATTAAGCAATTGCTGCACACCATAAGTGAACCTCTCATTATACCAATAGGGAACACCATTGGTGAACCTTTCATTATACCAATAAAGCATACCATAAGTGAACCTCTCATAATACCAATAAAACATACCATTGGTGAACCTCTCATTATACCAATAAAGCACACAATAAGTGAACCTTTCATTATACCAATATGACATACCATTGGTGAACCTCTCATTATACCAATAAAGCATACCATAAGTGAAACTCTGCTAATAGTATACCGATAGAGCTAACCATAAGTGAACCTCTCATTATATCAATAGGAAACACCATAAGTGAACCTCTCATTCAGCCAATAGGGAACACCATTAGTGAACCTCTCATTAAACCAATAGGGAACACCATTAGTGAACCTCTCATTATACCAATAGAGCACACCATAAGTGAACCTCTCATTATACCAATAGGGAACACCATAAGTGAACCTCTCATTATACCAATAAAGCATACCATAAGTGAACCTCTCATAATACCAATAGGAAACACCATAAGTGAACCTCTCATTATACCAATAGGGAACACCATAAGTGAACCTCTCATTATACCAATAGGGAACACCATAAGTGAACCGCTCATTTAGTCAATTGGGACACCATTAGTAAACCTCTCATTATACCAATAAAGCACACCATAAGTGAACCTCTCATTATACCAATAGGGAACACCATTAGTGAACCTTTCATTATACCAATAGGGAACACCATTAGTGAACCTCTCATTATACCAATAGAGCACACCATAAGTGAACCGCTCATTTAGTCAATTGGGACACCATTAGTAAACCTCTCATTATACCAATAGGGAACACCATAAGTGAACCGCTCATTTAGTCAATTGGGACACCATTAGTAAACCTCTCATTATACCAATAAAGCACACAATAAGTGAACCTTTCATTATACCAATATGACATACCATTGGTGAACCTCTCATTATACCAATAAAGCATACCATAAGTGAAACTCTGCTAATAGTATACCGATAGAGCTAACCATAAGTGAACCTCTCATTATATCAATAGGAAACACCATAAGTGAACCTCTCATTCAGCCAATAGGGAACACCATTAGTGAACCTCTCATTAAACCAATAGGGAACACCATTAGTGAACCTCTCATTATACCAATAGAGCACACCATAAGTGAACCTCTCATTATACCAATAGGGAACACCATAAGTGAACTTCTCATTATACCAATAAAGCACACCATAAGTGAACCTCTCATTATACCAATAGGGAACACCATTAGTGAACCTTTCATTATACCAATAGGGAACACCATTAGTGAACCTCTCATTATACCAATAGAGCACACCATAAGTGAACCGCTCATTTAGTCAATTGGGACACCATTAGTAAACCTCTCATTATACCAATAGGGAACACCATTAGTGAACCTTTCATTATACCAATAGAGCACACCATAGGTGAACCTCTCATTATACAAATAGGGAACACCATAACTGAACCTCTCATTTAGTCAATTGGGACACCATTAGTGAACCTTTCATTATACCAATAGGGAACACCATAAGTGAACCTCTCATTATACCAATAAAGCACACCATAAGTGAACCTCTCATTTAGTCAATTGGGACACCATTAGTAAACTTCTCATTATACCAATAAGGAACACCATAAGTGAACCTCTCATTATACCAATAGAGCACATCATAAGTGAACCTCTCATTTAGTCCATTGGGACACCATTAGAAAACCTCTCATTATACCAATAGGGAACACCATTAGTGAACCTCTCATTATACCAATAGAGCATACCATAAGCGAACCTCTCATTTATCCAATAGGGAACACTATTAGTGAACCTCTCATTATACCAATAGGGAACACCATTAGTGAACCTTTCATTATAGCAATAGGGAACACCATAAGTGAACCTTTCATTATACCAATAGAGCACACCATAAGTGAACCTCTCATTTAGCCAATTGGGAACACCATTAGTGAACCTCTCATTATACCAATAGAGCATACCATAAGTGAACCTCTCATTTAGCCAATTGGGAACACCATTAGTGAACCTCTCATTATACCAATATAGCATACCATAAGTGAACCTCTCATTTAGCCAATAGGGAACACCATTAGTGAACCTCTCATTATAGCAATAGGGAACACCATAAGTGAAACTCTCATTATATCAATAGAGCACATCATAAGTGAACCTCTCATAATACCAATAGGACACATCATTAGTAAAATTCTCATTTAGCCAATAGCACACATCATTAGTAAACCTCTCATTTAGCCAAAAGGACACATCATTAGTGCATTTCTATTGTATTATGCATCAAATATTATACTGTGACCACCAGCCAATAATCACAATATCAAGTAACTCTACTAGTATGCTAAATGGGTAAACAATGATTGTAATCACACATCAACCAATTTACTTTTTATACTTTTTCAACATGGTTTTGATCTTCATAATTTCTTTAAAAAAATCTCACTTTCATTTATGCCACTTGATGGTTCTCCCGCATGCATCTGTAGTAGTACAGTTTTCACATGTCCTGCTAGTAAAGCTAGTGGCATACTCTCTGTACTCTTGTAGTCAATCACCATGGAGACCAAATGACCAGCAGTGGACACTACATCATGAGTCATCAATGCTGCAGCAACAGCATCAGGAGATGTTGTTGAAACAATCTTTATTAATTCACCTGGCTTGATCTCAAGAGCAAGAAAGTCCAGTGTGACAAGTCTACCATCTGAAAGTAAGAAATAAATATATCAACTTTGATCTTTTAACAACCCTTTTCATTGTAAAAGAAAATTATAGATCAAAATTTAACAAATTTTGCCAAAAATATATAAGTAGATAAAATGATATTAGTTTAATCTGTAGTTGGAGTTATAGTTGCATCTTCAAGTCAGTAAGCTAACTTTATGAGCCAAAAGACATGTGCTAAGTTTAAAGTAAATGCCTGAAAACCTTTCATAGGAATTTATTTTTAGATGACCTCAGTGTAAACAAGTTGAATTATGCAACAGACAGTTTATAAATTTGATAGAGTATAAGAACCATCATATGATGTCAGTTTTTAAACAGTTTATAGTAAAAATTTAATTTCAAGATAAATATTACAAGTTTTTTTAAATTATGTACTAAAATGGCAACCATATTAATCATTTTCAAGAGTTACCATGGTATCATAGTGCTCTTCCTTTGAGTAGTAACCAAAACATGTCTGACTGACATAGATGTTTCTAAATGAAATTATTGACTAATTCTTTGAATGCCATGTGTATTTTAAAGTCAAAATACAACAATTAAACACAGTTTTATGTGATAGTTAATGTAAGATGTTTTTATTTATACAATTTGCTTGTAATACTGTAAGAACAACAGTACCATAGGGGACCATCCTATGTGCCCTTACCTTCATATGGTTTTGTTGTAACACCACCATATCTCTGTATAAAGTCTTTCAGTTTACCATGCTCAGGTTCAAACACCAGACTCCACTGACTCCAGTCTGCCAGGTTCTCTAACAGCGGGCAACTGTGCAGACAAAACTTGGCTGCATCTTTTGATTGGTGACCAAGAATCCCAACTTTTGAGTTCGAGGTGTTTGACATTCTGGAAAAACAAACACTAGTTTAATCTCTTGATCACAATGACAGACTGTAAGTTTTGTTCTGATTCAGTTGTTTCACTATCTTCAGTTTATGTTTTATAATAGGGAACAAAATGTTGTTTTCTTTATCACAAATTTCAATTGACATAAAATTAGTGCTTTGTTGATATTGTTTTCAAAATGAAGAAAACAATCATTTGATTTCAATTCAAAATGAAGAAGAACTATAAATGACTAGCATGACCTCAAACGATGACTGACAGACGGCCACAACAGCTCATGATGAGCACTTGCTCAGGAGAGAACAGTAATGAAAGTACCAGTTAAAAGAATTAAAATAAATGAAAAGCCATAAATTATACTTACAAACATATATGGATGAAATCATGAAATTGTACAGAAACAGGAAGCTAAATTTATGTTTTACTTGTTATACTTCTTTATTTATGTGTTACGCCTAATTTTGAATCAAGAATCTTTACAATGTAAAATTTATAAAATGGTACTTGTCTCTATAGAACTGAGTGTTTAATACATATTTGAGGGTTTTAGCTATCAATTAATTGCTAACATTATGAAGTAAACAGTATAAAATCTGACCAGACATCAGAGATGTACAGGCTGATCTGGTTCTTGTCCAAGGCAAATCAATATTGTTACTAGCTTTCAACAAGTTAAGACAAAAATCTAAAATTTAACTTTATCAACTATCACTCTTACCTGACTGAATGGAGAAATGCTGATTCATAGAATACAGTGAAATCTGCATAAACATGTCTACTAGCTTTACCAGCATGACCTAACAACCGTGATATATTCCCGTGTCCAAGATGTCTCACATCACTAACATTATACTGTCTACATAATGCCTCCTCAATCTGTTCTGGCTGAAATAAGTGATGAAAAATAACACAATTATCATACTTTGGTAATTATTTCAATGCTTTATACTTTTCATATAATTTCAGTTACTGTAACATAATGATATTATTACTAACTTTAGTGACTCTGTTTATAACAAAATCCTTTCTACAACAATCTTACTTTAACTCTCCCTTGAGATATTACTAGGATTTAATCAGAATAAAACCACCACTGGCCTGTCTGATCATCTTTTTATGACCCTTACTGGAATTTCTACAATGTTTATAGCAGTTTTAGTTTCATTATACCAAATTCAAAAAGAATCCCCCAGTCAGTCATTCCTCCTTCACAATATCAGCACCCCCAGTCAGTCATTCCTCCTACACAATATCAGCACCCCCAGTCAGTCATTCCTCCTACACAATATCAGCACCCCCAGTCAGTCATTCCTCCTACACAATATCAGCACCCCCAGTCAGTCATTCCTCCTACACAATATCAGCACCCCCCAGTCAGTCATTCCTCCTACACAATATCAGCACCCCCAGTCAGTCATTCCTCCTACACAATATCAGCACCCCCAGTCAGTCATTCCTCCTACACAATATCAGCACCCCCAGTCAGTCATTCCTCCTTCACAATATCAGCACCCCCAGTCAGTCATTCCTCCTACACAATATCAGCACCCCCAGTCAGTCATTCCTCCTACACAATATCAGCACCCCCAGTCAGTCATTCCTCCTACACAATATCAGCACCCCCAGTCAGTCATTCCTCCTACACAATATCAGCATCCCCAGTCAGTCATTCATCCTACACAATATCAGCATCCCCAGTCAGTCATTCATCCTACACAATATCAGCATCCCCAGTCAGTCATTCATCCTACACAATATCAGCACCCCCAGTCAGTCATTCCTCCTACACAATATCAGCATCAAATGTGTTAACTCTATATCATGTATACGCTTGTTTTCATGTGTGTCAACCATTATACATTACAGCATTACCATGTTGATTGAAGCAGAGGTGGAATGTTGTATGATGATTGTATCACAAGGTACAATTCAATGACAAAAGCAGCATATCTAACTTATTAATCTATTTGTTGATTTGTAGAGATAAATGCTGGTTAAATGAATGTTTGATAATGATTTTAGAGACTCGTGTATGATTTTTTTCTCAGGTACCTTCCTTTTAATACAAATTAATACTGCAAGATCATAAATTATAACAATATAATAGTATTGAACTTTAAAATGCTGATACTCAACTGTATAAATATGTAACTAAATACTTTCTGTGTGTAGCAACTTGTTCTTTACTATAGTATCTCTGTTTTGTATAAACTAGACTGTATATTCAAGAAAATAGCAATATTGTACATTAGAACCAAAACATACAGTATATAATCTAATCTTCTACATTCAGATGAAACTCTTAACGATATTTGATTTACTTTCTGTATTTCTGATTGACAATTATAATTCACTATAACCTTGTATACTTTAACCTTAAAATGTTATCTAAATATATGTACATGTACAAGAAATAACTCAATTTTGATATACAGCAGATCCAAGTAAAAACTTTAATTAAATAAAATATTAATTTCTAGTTGAATTGAGCAAGACCAAGCTTAAAGCTAACAGACTTACCTTACAATCTGCATGTTGTTTAAACTGTTTAATAAATTCAATGATGTCAGTCTGATTTGGTTTAAATGATGTGTCATTATCGGTACTTCCTCCAGAACTTGAACCGAGACTTAAACCTCCTCCTTCCTCCAACATCTAAACAACAACAAGTACATTGTATCTCAGTAAAATACCTCTGTCTGTCATATCAATTCTAAACAATTATTTTATTTCAGTAAATAAATTAACAATCTTAAAAACCCTACATGTTATTGTAAGCATTAAGACATTGCATGTTCAAATTTTTCCCGACCAGCTGCTGAACTGTACAGAAGGTATTAGAAAAGAAAACAAAAAATGTAACATTTAACCTGTTTTGCCTCTGACAACAGAAATTCAAGGAATCTCCCATAACCCATCTTGGTGAATTCTGGAAAACTGAAATCTTCTAGAAGTTTCTCTTCAATCCTGTCCAGATGTATGAGAGTAAGTGCTCCGGCATTTAAACATCTCTCGATATACGTTCTTAACTTTTCTGCCAACTCATCTATAACATACATGAACTAAAACTTAGAATAACTATCAACTTTCTAAATTTGTATAATGTACTTGCCCTGCGTGGAATATGGAAAAGTTCATTTAAAGTGTAAAGAGATTTCAATATCCAAATATTAAAATTTAATACCTAAAAATATAGAGCCTTTGTCTGGCTAATACTATCAAAACATTTACAACAATGCCATTGTCAAAACATACACTAGTTATGAAATTGGACAGGATCCTTAATTTTGCACATGGCACATACATGCTGCTGACAAATTTTGCATCTGACCTTTTAGTTTGACCTAACCTTTGACCAACTGACCTAGTTCAAAGGAGCAAGGATCTGTAACAATGGTGAACACATGTGCCAAGTTATACTCAAATACCCGAATGCATGTAGAAGTTTTGCTCTAGACCATCAATTTCTTCTGACCTTGACCTTTCACCTAGTGACTGGATTCATGTTACACCTTGTATTTGAACATTTGTTTTAAGAAATACATGTACAGTAAAACTTCGTTCGTTTGAACTCGGAATCGCTAGAATACCTCCCTTTGCTCGAACTCATCGCCCAGTCCCGGCAAAGTTCCTATATAATATATATTGTTCTACCTCAGATCACTCGAACATCTATTGCTTGGACTCTCGAACCTGATCTCTGGTACCTTTGGCAGAAATATAGTGAAAGTCACACCTTTTCGGTCAAACAATACCTCCAAGGGGTACAGAGAACAAGAGCTGTCCGTAAGACAGCGCGCTCGACTTTTTTATTGCTTGCCAATAAAAAAAGTTTTTGCAGTAAAAGGCAATACAAGAATCTCTGTATTTTTAAAGTGAACAATGGCCATGAGCATTAAGATATTTAGTGAAGAATTATTTTACTGAATTGTGTGATACCCTTGAACACTGCAGCAAAGTTTGAAATGTTTAAGTCAAAAGAGGGCTGGTAAGAAAGAAAAAGTTTTTTAGTGCTTGCCTATAATACAAAACATTGACAGTTAAGGGCCATAATTCAAATAAAATCTTTGACAGAATTACCTTCTCCTGGACATGTTTGGGAATCATGATTGTAAACAAGTATTCCAACTTTCAAATTAATATCTCAAACAGTTCAGTCAAAAAGTGGACTGGTACTAAAAACTTAACCAAGATTCTAAGTCGATAAAAGGCCTTAATTTTTAAAACAAATCCTTGACAGAGTTACCTTCTCTTGCGTACAGATGGGGGTAATGATGTGAAATAGCATTAAAAGTTTCAAAGCAATATCTCAAAGGGTTAAGGCAATAAGTGGATTTTACCCATATTCAATGTATTTTCTAAGTCAAAAAGGGGCATAATTCTGTCAAAAACCTTGACAGAGTTATGTCCTCTTGTCTGTTGATGAAGGTCGTGATGGTAAACAAGTATGGTCAGTTTCAAAGCAATACCTCCAATGGTTTTGAAATAAAGTGAGGTGGTACAAAAAACTTAACCAAGCTCAATACACTTTCTAAGTCAAAAAAGGGCCATAATTCTGTCAAAAACCTTGACAGAGTTATGTACTCTTGTCTGTAGATGGAGGTTATGATGGTGAACAAGTATGGTAAGTTTCAAAGCCATACTTGTAATACTTCTGAAATAAAGTGGGGTGGTACGAAAAACTTAACCAAGGTGTGACGCCGACGCCGGGGCGAGTAGGATAGCTCCCCTTTTCATAGAAAAGTCGAGCTAAAAACTGGGATGGTACAGAAAAGCGTTACTAAGGAGTGACCCAGATGCTGACATAATATACACAGACCTTCTTATAAGCAGGAAATCCTTATCCCTATTCATCTAGTGTTCAAACTAAAAAAATCAGAGCACACTAAACTATATATACAGTAAAATATTGTTTAAACCTTTTCTAGGTGGTTGTTGCTGCTGTTGATGTGTACTATTACTGTTGTCCTCTGTATCATCATTTCTGACAGGTGTAAACATGTCTTTCACTGTCTCCTCAACAGATGTGTTTGACATACAGAGTGCAAGATGAAGAATGTTTCTACCAAGCTCATTATCTCTCATAACTGTTAAGAAATCCTGTAAATATCAGATAAATTCCTTAAACACTTAACTGGAAAAATATAAAAAATTTAAACACTTCAATAATACAACTGAGCTGTTTCATAAACTAGGTTGTTTCTGAAACTAGGCATGTATATTTTCTACATAAATAATAATTATAGTTATTTATAAATACATGTAGTATACAAATATTCCCTGTTATTTCACTTTGTATAATGATATTTTAGGTGATGTTTAACTCTTTTCCATGTCATTCTTTCAATTTACATGTATGTACTATTAATATGATTCTTATACCCATACAACAGATACTTCTGTAGTTTACTGAAACTTATACAATAAATGTGAACATTGTTAGTGTGTAACCAACTAGAGAATTGTCAGTTTTTCCAGACTTTAATCAGTTTATTATTCTATTGTCACCAGTTACCACAGTGTAAGACCACATCTGGTTCAACCATGATAATAAACTAGCATGAAACTGACATCTAACTAAAATACAATTAGAATACTTCCCAGCATCCTACTTTAGCTTATTCCCTATTAAAATTAAGAGGGGCAGTGACCTAGTGGTTGAAGTTGTGTGTGTCTTAACTTAGAAAGTGGGGGTCAAATTCACATTTGTTTTCTAATATCAACAAAAAGTCCTTCAATGAAAACATGAAATTATGAAATTGATAAAGAATTTATTTTCACCTCAATGGCTTTTTTAAATTTTGCTGCTTTCTTTAAAACAACATCCCCTGCCTGTATAACCATCAGCAATATATTAAACTTTTCAAACACTTCCATTATTGCCAGTTCTGGTTTCATTTTCAAATAATGCTTCCGTACTTCCATTCCTTCACTTTCACCAGTTTGCATAATACTTGTACGGAATTTTCTAGAAAAAAAATCAATCATTAATTCAATGCAGTACTAATCACATGAATAAGTTGATGGGAAATGTTTCAAATTACCGTATATCTGGGTACTTATGGAATTAGCAAATTTTATGATTTTGGAATTTGTTTTATTTTAATAAATCTAATTTTGTTGTACTTGTTTCTTTAATTTTTTTCAAGTTGTCAGCTGACAAAGCAATACCACTGACAATACTTTGTTTTCAATTTTCCATTTGATGAATTGGTAACAGGACTGAGGTAAGCATCCTGCATTTCACACTTATTTTCTTGCATATCAGACAGGATTCATAATCTACTGTTTACACCAGTGCTAGATAAATTGGTCTTACATGCCCATGTAAGACAAGTTGTGGGCTTAATATGACGTCGCCCCCCATTCTTAGAATGCCATTATTTCACCTTTATAAATGAACATTCATACACAATGTCACTGTTATAAATGAACATTCATTCACAATGTCACTGTTATAAATGAACATTCATACACAATGTCACTGTTATAAATGAACATTCATACACAATGTCACTGTTATAAATGAACATTCATTCACAATGTCACTGTTATAAATGAACATTCATACACAATGTCACTGTTATAAATGAACATTCATACACAATGTCACTGTTATAAATGAACATTCATACACAATGTCACTGTTATAAATGAACATTCATTCACAATGTCACTGTTATAAATGAACATTCATTCACAATTAACTATAAGAAATTTAGTGATTAACAAATAATGTGAAGTTTTCATAATTTGTTTTCGAAACATAATAAACATGAATTGTCACAGACAGGAATATCTTGCTCTCGGGTAACTGTTTAGCAGAAACACAGAAGGTCTTGTTACTGCCATAAACAGTTACCCTCAAACTAAATATTCCAATCTGTACCAAAAGCGCATGTAAAATCTCTTTGTCCCCACTCCCCTTACTGTAAACTTGTTATTTTAAACTGCCTATGTTCCTATACCTGAATATAAGGTTTGAAATAACATTTTTTTAGTTAAACAAACAATTGTTGCTAATTTACTTATACAATAAATGTGAACATTGTTAGTGTGTTATTACTATGTCACTTAAGATTTTTTAACATCTTTTTCTATATTTGTAACAAAGCCACTTGAAAATTTTACCTAAATGCTTCTCCAATTTCATTTCTCAGTTCATCTTCAAAATGATCCTTGATGTCCCTACGACTTGCAGCAGAATCTCTTTGGGCTTTTTTCAAAGTCTAAAGTAAAAATATAGAAAAAAATTAAGAGTGCCATTGTCACAAAATATGCCACTCACAGATGTCTCATCATGGTGAACATTTGTCATATTAAAATCTCTCAATGGATGTAAAATTTTTACTTTGGACACACCTTTTCCCCCTGACTTCTAAATGTGACCCTGACATACAGACCTTTATGTATACAATACCACCCGACTTATAGTGGTGAACATTTGTATCATCCATGCATGTTGAAGACATAAACATAATAATTTCTGGTGAAGTTAGTCTAGTTGAGATTGTATATGACTTGTGTATAGGTCTGGTTGATCAAGAAGAAGTCAGGATGTTGGTCGGTTTGTCGTCAAGAAGAAGTCGTAAAACATCGTGTATGGTCAACTTGAGGTCGTGTAGGAGTCATGAATGTGCATTTAATCCAGCTTGGTCAGGCTTTATCGGGGAATTAATGTGATTGGGACGATTGAGTTGATCTGATCGGCGGTGAGAACATACCAATAAATAGACTCAGTAGGAACATTACTGTAATCTGTTTTTCTTACTAATGGCAATATTCACTGTATTAGCTGCAAATTTACAAATATTATACAGAATAAAAAATCATATTTAAAATCATGCTTATTCATCTTATGTGTCTTTCCAGTAACAGTAAAAATATCATAAAATAATCTCCTGTTAATCAATCAATGAATTGTCAAGTAGCCAAATGTATGTTTACTTGAAATGAAAATGAAACAGTCTATTAATGTCTTAAAGAAATTTTGTATTAAAATAGCAAATATAAGTAACCAAATCTGATCATAATGGCACCTAACAATCAAAAGGTTACTTAGTCATAAAATGAGTAAAGGTTGAATCATAAAACAAATAGACTTACAGTTAGAGCCAGTGGAAGGGATCTAATCCTTACACCTAACATATAGGCATTTTCAGCATCATACTTTTCCACCAAATAATCCATGAATGGTTCCAACTCCATCTTTGTACGCCAGAGACCTTTTATATCAAGATATGTTCTAAAGTGATCCAGTATGTCCATTGTTGTTATCTCTGGAATCTCAGACTGGTCAGGTGGGAACCGGAATTGTTGGAATACAACAGGGTACCGCTGCAATGGTCCCGTTTTCAATGAGCTAAAATCTCCATCATCCGTAGCATACTCTTTCAGTTCATTTTTGAGTTCATGAAGTGTACAGATTGCTCGGGTCTTAACAAATGCATTAACATACACATTGATCTTGCAAATTAACCTGTTTAACTCATTTACACAGTCAACCTGATCCATATATCTTAAACCAAGATCCTGTACTTTACGGCAACTAAACCTTTGGCATACCAACTTTTCGACTCGTTCCTGAGTAACAAATAAATCAGCATCGGATAGAATTTCTATACACTCTTTGGCAACATTATTTATTTGTTCTTTAGATGGCTTTTTACCTTTGGCAACGTAAACTGGGCGTACATCAATCTTCTTTGTCTCAAATTCATCCTTATCTATTGGTTTTACTTTCACAGGTTTGGAATTATCATGTTGATCCATGTGTTGTCTAGATTCACCATTTATTACTGGCTGTTGAGTCACATTTCTAACTGGTATCTGATCATCTTGTGATTGATATCCAGCAAGAAGATTGGTGTAATTATTACCATGATTTTCATTCAGGTTTCTAAGTCTACTTTGAGCTGTACCCTGAGCTATGTTCTGAGTTGGTAGTCCATAGTGGCCAGTAATAATAGCAGGATCTTCAGTTTCAAGTGCTAATGAAGGGTTATGTGGCAAGTTGAACTGAGTGACTGGTGCCCACTGAAAACCAAAAAGACCCTCCTGTTGTGAAGATTTTGGTACTGGATTGTCTTTTCCTTTGCCATCAGCAACTTTCTCTGATGCTTGCTTTACTGCGTTTGATGCTGAATAAGAAAATGATGATTTATCTTCATTTTTAGATAAATCAAGTTCAACTGCTTTATTTGATTTTCTTTTTGCAGTTTTAATAACTCTGTCTGGCTTGCTTGATGCTTGTAAGTTCTCTTCTGAAGTACCCTCTGTTTCACTCTTTTTCTGTGACTTTCTCTTAGCAGTTTTAATGACCCTGTTTGGTATGTCAGTTGTATAATAATTAGGGAAATCTGTCCTTTCATATAAAATTTCATCAGTGTTTCCCTGTGTTTTTGTTGACTTCCCAATCATTCCACTAGCATCTCTTTTATCACTGTGACCTTCCACTGATTTACCAACAAAAGGAGCTTTTGATTGTGTACTTGTTTCTACTTTAGCTTTATCTTTTGGGGACTGTGAATCTCTAGATAATGATGGAAAGTTATTATCATTAAACAATACTTCAGAGCTACTTCTTGAAGAAATATTGTCAGTGCTTGCTCCATGTTGCAGGGTGATATTTGGATCTTTTTGTGACCATGTAACAGTTATAGTATCTGACCAATTTTCAAGTACCTTACTTAGTTTAGATACGCCACAATCTGCTGCTGAAAAATTCTTTTTTGTTTCTGTTTTTACCAAGTTCCAAATTTTACTCAGCTTCACTCCTTTTGGATTATTCTTCAGTATACTCACCACAATTTTCTTCAACTTTGCATTGTTTGATTCTATCTCTTTCTTTGACAACTTTCCTTTCTTTTTTGCTGGAATAAATTTTTATCATGGGGGTATTAAATGACAACATTTTTACAATAATAATAATTATAAACAACTGCTATGTTTTTTAATATTGGTTACGAATTTGTAAGTTCACAAAATTAGAAGTGGCTTAAGTTTTTCTCTCCTAGCTTCAATGGTCCTGAACACTTGGTACCAGGCACTGTGAGTGTTGGCATTAAGTGAGTGTTAGTTAAAAAAAACATACTTAATATCTGGACTATTTGTGAATAAATCTGGGATACTTTTTATCATTTAAAATTTACTTCCATAATTGGGAAATAGAAGAAAGGTGTGCATGATAATAAGACTTGAGACTATTAAACTATCTTATAATTTGTGACAACAGGTAAATTGTACGAGAAAATCTAGCTGGTTCTAATCACTCTAAATTCCGAAAACTTCAATCATAACTTTTTGGCTAGTGACCGGGCATAAGGGTCTGAAATACAAAGGGAACACTGTACTGCCTGACTTTAATAGCTCATCTTTGAGTGCTACATGCTTTAAGAAAATAACAAAATCCATGACAGTGATGACTAACTGTCAATCTCTATATGGACATTTGCAGCCTAGGACCTTCCCCACCCAATCAAAACCTCCTTTCTCATCAGCCTTATTAATAAAAGAAAGTTCCATATAAAGTTTAAAGTCATACATATGACATAATGATCAGATATATCTCATACAATAATATATAGATTGTTGACAAATACACATACTGAACAATTAAGAGCCACTGCCATGCTGGGGCCATGCTAGTCTTTTTCTTATTTCTATAGTTAAACACGCCAAAGGAAGAATAGTAAAAGAGTGTTACTATGAAAAATAATTTTTTGTTACAAATATAAAATAAAATTCAAATTTCATATTTGACCTTGATGGTCAAGGTCATTCAAAGGTCAATGTCACATCTGAATAAATCATTAGTCAGTTTTGTCTATTTTGTCCAAGAATGAATTAAATCCAAAAATAAATAACAAAGGTAAGACAATTTAAGCAAGTTTCAATAATCTGACATTGATGGTCATGGTCAATTAAATGTAAAGGTCATATCAGAAAAATTCAACATATCGTTTTTTTTAAATGTGTTCTTTTGTCCAAGTATGAATCAAATGTGAGAATTTTAAGAAATAACGAAAGTTTTAACAATTATAGCAAATTTCAATAATTTGACCTTTACTGTCAATTAAGGTCAATATCATATATGAATAATTCAACATAAATGCACTATCATTGGCAATAAAGGCTAAGGGTCTACCATTCAAAGACCCTCTGACCTTGACCTTTGACCTTTGATCATCTATTAGTTTTGACCAATCAATATCTGAAATATGAAGACTTTGGGATGAATTGTGACCAAGACAATGAGCAGACACAATTTCTGACATTTGAGGCCCCTATGACCTTGACCTTTGACCTTGTGACCCCAAAATCAATAGGGGTCATCTACTAGTTATGACCAATCAATATGTGAAATATGAAGACTTTGCGATAAATGGTAACCAAGATAATAAGCGGAAATCATATTACCATTCAAGGACCCTGTGACCTTGACTTTTAACCTAATGACCCCAGATCAAAGGGGTCATCTACCACTTATGAACAATCAATATATGAAATATGAGGACTTTGTAAAGAATACTTTTCAAGATAATCAGTGGAAACCATTTTGACATTTAAAGCCCCTGTGACATTGACCTTTGACCCCAAAATCAAAAGGTGTCATCTATTAGTTATGACCAATCACTATGTAAAATATGAAGACTTTGTAATGAAAACTTTTCAAGACAATCAGCGGAAACCATTTTCACATTTAAGGCCCCTGTGACCTTGACCTTTGACCAAGTGAACCCAAAATCAATAGGGGTCATCTACTAGTTATGACCAATCACTATGTGAAATATGACAACTTTGTGATGAATACTTTTCAAGACAATCAGTGGAAACCATTTTCACATTTAAGGCCCCTGTGACATTGACCTTTGACCTAGTGACCCCAAAATCAATAGGGGTCATCTACTTGCTATGACCAATCACTATGTAAAATATGAAGACTTTGTAATGAAAACTTTTCAAGACAATCAGCGGAAACCATTTTCACATTTAAGGCCCCTGTGACCTTAACCTTTGACCTAGTGACCCCAAAATCAATAGGGGTCATCTACTCGTTATGGCCAATCACTATGTGAAATTATATGAAGACTTTGTGATAAATGGTTTCAAGATAATCAGCGGAAACCATGTGGTCTACCGACCAACAGACAGACCGACATTACAAAAACAGTATACCCCCTCTTATTCGAAGGGGGGCATAATAATGTCATGGCCAATTGTAGTAAAATTCACTTACCTGACCTGATTGTCAAGGTCAAATCAAGGTCAAGTTCAGTTAAATCTTACAAGTATGAAGACAATACATACATTAATATCAAAGTTACTGCTAATTAAAGCAGGAAAAAACAGTGAAATTTCATATAACAATTTGACCTTAAAAGTCAAGGTTATTTATAGGTCAATGTCAAATTGAGTTTTAACTCTTTTAAGGCATTGTCCTTAAAGTAGTTGTGCTGAAGTACTAAAAAATCCATTCATAAATAATAAAGTTACAGCCAACTATAGACAAAATCAAGCAAGATTCATTAATTTGACCTTCAAGGTGAATTTAGGTCAAGGTGAAGGTCATAATCAATTAAAGCTACTCCAAAGGATTGATGTGTCCAAGTTTAAAGACAATTCATTCCATAAATAAAGTTAAGGCCAATTATAGCAAAAATTGAGCAAAAATCAATCATTTGAACTTAGAGGTCAAAGACATTAATTTTATGAGTCAAGGTCTACTTGAAGGTCTTCAAGAAAAAAGACAATCCATTAAGAAATTAAAAATTTAGCCAAATTTAAAGTTTCTGGATGATTATGGCAAAGGCAACGACATCGGCAACAAGAACCTGACTGTAGCAATACCTTTAAAGGGAGACACAGTGAGTGGCAAACTTTTCATTTCTTCGATTTGAACTTTTCTTTCAATATTCTATAAATGTCCCGGAAATGAATACACTAAGCAGTCACTCAAACAAAATGCTTCTTCTTAGCAAAAATAAAACGGTGGTTTCCCAACTTGACCTGTATGGGTCAGGTTAGAGCATTTGGACTTCACAAAACTTGTAAAAGAGAACTATGAAAGCGTTAAAGTATGTGTCAAATGAATGACTTATTTCAATCTGACAAAACTTATTTCAATCTAACAATATCCACACTATCTGTTATTGTAATTTCCAGAGTCTTCTATAGTTACATGACTTGTTTAAAATCTAGTCGGTGACTCAGTCGGCATCTTAATTTTGTTCAACTTACAAAGATATTATTAGTAACGCTTCAAGTCAAAAATATATAGTATTTATACAGAAATTCATGCTAGGACTTCTATAAAATGTCATTTGAGCATGATTTGGGTGAGTCACTATCAATTTAATATTTTTGTCATTCATTTGCCTAAGTGTCCCTTTTAAAATATCAAGCCAGGAATAGATAGCACTGATTACCTTCAACATTCTGCCTTGTACTGGTCAATTTAGGAAAATCCTGGTCCCTCCCATTTTCATCTTTCCAGCCTATGCCCTTAAATATTCATTTTAAACAGATTTAATTTCTTGTATAAACAAATTTGTGATGATTATTGTAATATATTAATTTAAGTCACAATGATATAGCCACTCTATTGTATTTAAGTAAAAGATTCAAGTGTGAAAAATTTGAGGAGAACAATGAACTGCATTTTTGGTATCTACATGTATATTAACAGCTCAGTATTTAATATAGCACAAACAATAGATAAATTAGAATTCTAGAAATGTAATGTACTTACTCCCTCAGCCATTGTTAGTCACCATATACTAGTAGCACAGACACAGGCACATTGTCTCTACTCTAGAACTATGACATTGTCCTTGGCAAATGTATCATGGCACATACACATTTAGATCTTATTTCTTTTTATTTGTCTACAATGAATAAGTATTTAAACTTCAAAATTATTTACATGCATGTGGACAGTAAGACTGGTAGAGAAAATCAATATACATACAAAGCACCTTTGCACAGCTACATGTGTTCAATATGAAAATGAAAGAAAGCATGTTACAATACTTAGTCTATACCTTTACAACTTGATATCCTTAGAAGTAAAAAAATTACACTCTAATAAAATAGAAAGACATTCTCAAATACATGTAGCACAAGCACTGAGTATACAAAAGTATATACAATATGTATAATTCTAACATTTCATATATATAATGGATTAAACTACAGCTAATAATGAAAGAACTGTTCATTCACTTAAAAAAGTACAAAGTATTTTAAGACTTGCTTTAAGGAAAGGTCATACTTAATCATTAAAGCATATGTACATGTATGTCAATTCACCACACAATTATCAATGAATGTCTTTTTTTACAAAAGAGCCTTTTTTTAAATTTTACAAATCAGGTCCACTAAGCTTTGAATGCCACACATCATAGCTCTAATCAGGGGCCATGTTTGATAAGGTTTCACACTAAAAGCTTAAATATACCATTATTACCTGTTTTCCCTATCTGATGGCGTGGTTAAGGTCGTTGACTTCCGAGCACTTGCACCACACTGCTGTGCATGCATGGGTTCAAAATCCCAACAGGGACTTAGGATTCTTTCAAGTGAGGAAGCTATCGAGCTAACTTATAGAAGTCTGTGGTTTTATTTAAGTGCTCGTTCTTGCCAGATATAATGCACAGGGCACCCAAGGTCTTCCTCAACCGGTAAAGTTTGAAATTCACTACATGACATTAAAACTGTGTTGTTGCCATGTAAAACCCAACCAAAGCAAAAACAAGAGGGCAATGATGGCCCTAATAGGGCTCACCTGATTATAAATGCTCTTAATGACAAAGAAAATATAATATAATAAACTATAAATGAAATGCAGAAAAAATTAGATTATATATAAAACATAATTTAAGTCACTGGTTGATATGGGAATTTATGGTTGCTATGGAAAGTCAATGGTTGCTATTGAAGTCAATGGTTACTATGGAAAGTACCCCCACCACAGACAAAATATATACATTGTGTTATTAGGATATCCAGCAAGTTGGATTTTTTATTGATCTGTGATATATTAAAGGGGCTTCACTGAGGTTTAAAAGCCTAAAAACATAATATTTTAATTTCTTAACATGAGCTGGGGCATTTTAAACAGAAATATATGCAAAGATATGGTTAAAGAAATAGGCTATACTTTGAAATAAATTGAAAATCGTATTTTTATGCTTTTCTTAGCACGTTTTGAGTGAAAAGCGTTTAAATGTCTTTCATTTTGTGTCATTTTTTTACAATATGAATAGATCTAATTATTCCGATAAAACCTGAGGTACGTATCCAAATAATCTGAAATTTTGCACAAAGATTAGTGGTCTAAACCTACTTCAAATGGTCCATTTACCTGGAAAAAAATATTTTCAGTCACATTATGTCGAAAAACCTCACTGGAGTCCCTTTAATAATAATTATTATTATTCATATACATATTTTGGGGGGTTATAGCTAGGGCGGTTACTGACCTGGCTACACCTGTGATGTCCATACACATTTTAAATGTTGTTATCAAATAACAATGCATCTAAACATCACAAATAATGAAACAGTTATCTGACATCATTAATCAAATCATTGATTTCATTCAAAAAACTTGTTTACACTTATCGAAAAAAAGTACATACCAATATTTATCATAGGAACTCGAAAACAGGACCGCAGATTGCGGCGCATATTTCCGATCGTGTAACGGTTTTTAAAATCGTTTCTGCTACATCTTTATATCTTTTAGTATTATACGAGTGTATGGACTCAAAAAATATATTATCAATTGAACCCAATCTGTCTCTTTTAAAACTGGTCAAATTTTACGGTATTATAAAAAAGACAAGGAGTGACATCCGCCATTTGCCGCAACGTTTTCGGCATGAGTTTTTCCCCTTTGGCTACAATTGATTACTATTTTTTCAGAATTTTGTTCCCGTTATTTTTGTCAACTATCAGGTATCGTCCGGATATAACGTTAACGGTTTATTGTTTACACGTGTTGACATGTATAGGCGGCATTATAACGGGCGTATTCGTGTTTTGATTTGTTAACATGGAGAAAACAGACACTTTAGTAATATGGTCCAACTGATTGTGCCTAACTGAAAAAAGGAATATTAAAACATGATCCATAGATAAATATTTTAGGCACTCATCTGGTATTCATTACTAAAAAAATTAAAACAAAAATCAAACATATCAAGGGGGATAACTTACGCCGAACGTTGCGGCAAATGGCGGATGTCACTCCTTTTCTTTTTTCAATATACCGTAAATTTGACTGATTTTTAAATTAGCAGATTATATTAAATTGAGATAAGATAATTAAAGACCACCCGCTCGCATCATATGAAAAGATATTCAAAGGTCGGACAAACAATATGTAAAGCCGGTACGGATTCGGATTTATTCGCCGCAATATGCGGTCCTGTTCCAGAGTTCCTATGATATTTATATGCCTCCTATGTGAATTGATGGTGATATCCGTGACTTTCTGGAAATTCTGGTACTGTGAAGTTTTTAATTAACTGAAATTGTTAATATTCACTTACATCATTTCCGATAATTTGATTTAGTTTCCGCTTGTGTTGTCAGCTGCATTTCAATTTTCTGAAAACCCAATCTTCCTTGTTTTGAAAATCGCAAATTACAGGTAAGGAAAGATAGCTTGACGGCATATATATCACCTGTACGCGGAAATTTAAACCCAACAATTAAAAAAAACCGCAAGCCATCAAATAAAACATTTAAAGATAATTACTCTGATACTTGTAAAAATCTTATAAATAATTATATTGAATACATACTGTACGGATTCATTATCGAACTTGGTCAACTTTCCTGCCGTGTTATCATATTAGATCTATACAGCAACCTAATGTGTGCACATGTTATCTTTTGTACACATTCATTTACAAACAACATGCACATTTTTTGAAAAACAATATCTATTAAACAGTTTGAATTACGTGTAGACATTGGATTAAATATCTTACATATCTGATGATAAAATGTTTCCTCATTAGCCTAGTTCTATATTTAGCTTTTCGGAAATATTATGCAGATGTTAATCAGTGCGTAACTTGATAAGGTATTTCAGGGGCGGATTTCACAACCAAAGGGGATGGGGTACACCAGTTACGTACAATAGGCCTACAAACAGTCAAGTATGGAAACCGTTTATAAAGATGTGTTTGTTTAATACATACATGAAATATGAGCAAATTGCAAACACTATATTAACCCTTTCCCTCATGTGCATATTGTGAAAAATGGCCGTTTTCATTTAAAAGCCCCTTGTTAGTGAGACTCACTCAGTGGCGGATTCAGGCCCGGGCTTCAGGGCTGCAGCCCCCCAGCTCAGCCCAAAGATACGTTTACCAGCTGGGCTGGAATATATTTTTGTCAGTTTCATACTTTATTGACTGCAGTGTACTCCCTAGTTCTGGCTTCCAAAACTTTATAAGCCGCTCTTTAACATTTTTGTTTTTTATCTGATGCGGCATTAATTAACGTCATGTCATAGTATATAAACGGGTACGCTGAAGACCTTAAGCTATGTACTCCCTTATCAAAACATTTATTGCTGTCATCCAATTGTTAATCTCCTGCCTGGGGGCTTGGCAGAGATCTTTATCTATCAACATGCTTGAATGACTTCAGTGCATAATTGATTGGTTTATTACTTACCAAAGGACTAATGAAATTAATAGTCACAAACAGTGGCAAATAGATGTGTTACATAGTACACCATATTTAACTATCTTTATTTTTCCATTTTCTTTGGGATTATTTAGCCGTATAATTAAGAAATTGAAAATTATGATTTGTAAATTAAAAAGGTGGCGAGTTAAAAAAAAAAAAGATGATATTAAAGGAATCACGTTTAAATAACTAGTTTTACTAAGATTTTTATTAAGATGAAAAAACTGATCATTTGCTTTAAATAAATTTTTATGGCAGTTATATATTTTTAATAAATTTAAATTCGAACTGACCTCTTTAAATAGTCATAATCTAAAATGGATTCATTGATGGAAATAATTCTTATTGAATATTAGTGTTTGAAATTATTATTTTTTGTACAATAAAAATGCAGTATTTTAATAACAATTTATTTAGGAAAATTGTCTTTTATTCAGATGAGTAAATTGATCGAGTGTTTGAAATAATTTTTATCAACGTTCGCACATATTTTGGTGTGCTGTTATTTTGTAAATGCTCGCTCACTACTAAACACCAGGGAATGCTATTTTTGCTGAAAGATCTGCAAACACTAGCCTATACAAAATACCTTGTGATGTTAAACCACCCAAAAGGTACCATTAACAGCACTAGAAAGTCAAGGAAATAACACCATTTTCAACCTCATATTTCAAAAAACTTTCAGTCTATGGGAGGGGACACCCCTCCCAGGCCCACCCCAAGTACAAATGTTTTTCTTAATCTCATATCATCTAAATATTTACAAAAACATTAGTATATAAACACATGTATAAGCAAAGTACATTGCCACTCATAAGATGAGCTATAAAACACATTAAGTACCTTTTTTGCCACATGAGTTGCATTATTTTTGTCAAAATCGTCCACCCATATGTCAGCCCCCCAGGAAACCATGTTTTATATCCGCCCCTTGTAACTTACAAGTTCAAACTGCTATGAAACTATGAAAAATGCTTCATTGGCACAAATGTTGACTGGACCTTTGCCTTTGTAGTTAAATTTCCTGTTACCATGGCAACGAGGGGTCATCTCAAAATTGCCAGAAATCACTATTTAGCGTAGATTTTTTCCCATCAAAATTGATTTCAAATTAAAGCGCTGCAGATTCTCAATGGATTGAGATAGTGTCAAAGGCTTTTCAGCGTTGGTTACACATTACCTTACGATTGACCTGGGGTCATTTTAGCCTCTCACAAGTCCAAACTTTTCTTGGCGATGAGGGTGACTACCGCTCCCCTTTAAAACACACAAAACAGAAGGGGGCACATCGATCCCCCTTCTGGCAACCCCCTGATCTACCTTTTTGATAGGGGCGGTGC